TTAATTATCAGCAACACTAAGACAAAATAGAAAAAAAAAATTTGAATCCTTTCTGAGCACTCTCACTAGCCTGTTTCTCTTCGAGGTGATGCTCACTGCCTTACAATTCTGTATTTTCTGTAAATGTCCATAAACCTTTCACAGGCACAGCCATTTTCCTCACCCATATCTCCAATCACTGCATAGTTCTAAGCATCCCCTGTCCATTTGTGGCCATGCATCCTGAAATGCAAGCTGCACACAATGACACAGTGCTCTTGTGATTCATCATCTCCTGCTCCATTGCCTGTAAAGCTGCTTTGAAAGGCTTTTCTTGTGGCTGTTGTTAAAATCCCTGGTTGCAGAATTTCAAAGTGTTTGTTTGTTTGTTGTTTTTTGGTTGTTTTTTTTTACAAAAGAGAAGCAAATGTTTTCCTCTTCCTCCATATTTCTACCAGTGCCTAGCGAAGCAAAGCACTTCAAAACTGGCATACGTGCCATATTGCAATTCTAGTGGATAATTCATAGAGAAGTGAATAAAGACATAGCAGGAAACTGCTTGTTACCAATTCTACTCTGTAGACACCTGCTCCAGGTTCTGCTCCTCTTGGCTAACTTTTTTCTGTGCCAGTTTTTTTTTGCTTTTCCTTGCTGATATTTGAAAGTCTGAAGCTATGGTCTTCTCCTTGGCATGAATAAAATCCATTCTTACTTCTATTTTAAACACCTTGGAGTGTTCAGCACCATTTTTGTTAGAGGAAAAGGTCTCTGTTTGACTTAATATACAGAAAAAACCTTTATATGACTTCGGTGAGCAGTTGAGGAGTGCTTTCCCAAAATTTCCTGTTCATAACTACTTGCAGAACGCCACCAGTTTTTCTGGGTCAATATTCTGACTGTATCCACTTCCAGCAAGAAATAACAGCTAGAATGAGTTTCTTTGTTCAAAGAGAAAATTTAGGAAGGCAAAAGAACATGTCAGTGACTTTGTGAGGTGTAGCAGGTGGGTGCATTTTCTAGCAGAGGGTAAATGGGATGTGTAGGCTTAATTGAAGGCTGCTTTTTTTAAGAATTTGTCTTAAAAATGGACATGGGGACAGCATTGTTGGCTGCTGTAGCTGAAGATTTAATCAAGTAGCTGCTGCTTAGCAAAATTATAGTGATGAGCAGTGGTGGTGTGAGTTGAGTAGCCAGAGCCTTCCTGTTGTAGGTGCTGCAAAACTCCTTGAAGCTTCTGTCTTTGGTTAGATAAAAGCCAGAAGAACCACAGATAACCTGATTTTTCAGGGAAATAGAAACAGATCACTGTGACTGACTGCAGGATAACCAGTGGGAGCTAACAGCTGTTGAACATTACCAGCAAAGGAGGCAGGGGGGAAGCTGGGTTAAAAGTTAAAAGCACAAAAACATAAATGTCTATGACATGTCAGTTTATACATCTTTGGGTTTGTCATGCTTAATTCAAGATCAAGTGCTGACAAAGGACAGTGCAGAATGTGCACTGGGAATGAATAAATGTAAAAATGCCTCTTTCACAGGAATGCATTACACTAACTATTCACTTCAGGAACTGAGTGCCAAAACCATCTTATTTGACCAAATGCATGCTATTCTGTCCTTTATACTCTAATTTATTCCCATCAGGTGCTGTGAAGTCCTGCTTGGAGTGTCTATTTTCAGCATAAAACTGTTTGTCAAATTTCTATTAAGCTTAAGGTGAAAAATTAATGAGCCATTCACTTCAGATATTTCAAAACTAATACTGCTGTATTATTAATGCAGCAGAAAGTCAAAGACTTGGGTATGTACAATTATTGCTTGATGTTCAGTTGTACTACTTTTTTTTGTCTGTATTTTTGGGGGAACATCATTAAAACACTGTTTTAGGTCATAGAAGGAATTATTTTGATGAATTCTGTCAGTAAGCTTTTTAGACAGTTTTAGATAACTTTTTGATTTATCTGATCCTGGCAGAAGGTGCCTTGAATAAACACATATTGATGAAGTACAGTGTTCTAGCCAATCTTCCTTTGAATCTGGAATTTAAACAAAAATGAACAGAAAGTGGATTCATATAGCACAAAACTTCTCAGAGAAATGCAAATAAAAGACTATTCACATAATACTGAGGAAGCTGTGGGTGAACAATAACTTTGGGCTAGAGAGGTATGACATTGTGACTAACTCTTTGATTTTTCAGTCTTCAAAAAAAGTCACTGAAATGATGATAAAATTGTACTTTTTTTCAGAACTGAGTGGGGTATGGTGCACAAGTATTACTATTAAATTCAGAAATGCCAGAGCATGTTGTCAGTACCAGTAAGTTCAGGGGTGGAGCACTGTGAAATGCTGGGCTAGGGGAGTGTGTCCCAGGTGGTCAAGGTTTATGCTTGCATTTAAAAAGAAAACATGAACCACAGTCACAGCAGAAGTAGAAATTCAAGCCTTGTTTTCTGTGCAGAAACTTTCTAAAGATTGCCTCATTTTTGTGCTCCTAAAATTAACTTAATAATTGATTAGTGTATTTTCCTCCTCACTTTCCAGTAAGTTCTCCAGGGACTTTCTGAAATTAATAGTAGTTCTGGGCCTGGCACAGTTACATTGTTAGACTTGCAGAGAAGAAGGAATTCTGCTTCTTGGAAGAGTTTCATGCTATAAAACTAAATTTCATTACCTTCAAAATGTCAAATTTAAATTATCCTTGAAGCATTTGTTGTTCCCACAGATGCTGAAGGGTTTGGCATCCAGCAGAGAAAGTGCCAGCAATAATCCCCGAGTTCTTTCAATGTGTTTTGTTTCTTTCTGAAGTTACACTGCACTGTTTCACTGTCACTACAGCACCAAGCCCATGAGTATTTAAAACCTGAATGATTAAGCTTTAAGTAGCAGCCCTGGAAATCTCCAGGTTTTTAAATGTGCATTGGTCTTGGATAGTCACTTTTGAAATCTGGTCATGATGCACATTGCTTTCCTCAGCCTTCTTCAATTCATAAATGCCTGGCAGAGGGGAAGGAACTCTGTGTTATTTTTTTTTCAAGCATTTTTAAATATGAATTTCAATAGTGGTTTTTTTTTTTTCTGTTAGTAGTTCATCAAGTTTAGTTACTGGAGAATTTTATGGAATTTACGTCTGGAAAAGATGTCAGGAGGTCACTGAGTGCACCTTCCCTCAGGGAGGGCATCAGCCATATCTGCATCATTCCTGACAGATGTTTGCTTACACTTTTCTCTAGAAAGATTTCAGTTTAAGAGATTTTATCACCTGCCTAGGCAAGTCTTTATGTATTCCTCCTATTAGAAAGTTTTTCTTCTAAATATATCTGCCCAGATAACTTAAATCTGCCTTTCTATAGATTCTTTTTCCTTTTTCTCACATCCTTCGAATTCCATCTTCTATTGTGAAATGATTCATTTTTAAATATGGAGGGGTTTCTCCTGTAAGTTGCTCTTGAAAGTGTATCTTTCACAGGTTATTCAAGTATGAAGCTCTAGTTGTAAGTAACTGGAGAGAGATTTTTCTCATCTGAAATGATTTGAGCTTCATTCCCCTGCAATACAGTCTGCAGATTGACAAACACTGCAAAGAAAATAATGTCTCAATTGCACATCTCTGATAGACTTTTTAGGATTCTTTTTAAGTGCAGAAACAGATTCTCAAAACTTGACCAAACTGATTTTGCCATCACTTTATTGAAGTGACAATTTCAAGAGATTTTGAACCCAGACCAACTTTTATGAGACAAAGCTTTTCCTTTTTTTAAATTATATTTTGAACCAGGTTTTCCTTTCCACCTAAAAATTTGTCTGATTCTTTCAAACTGAACACTGAGCACCTTGCCACTGAGTATTAAAGGTGAACAACACCTTTTGTTTTTCCATAATTAAATGATACAGTTTTGGCCAATTTTTACATTAGGATTAAAGGTGTACCATAAAAAATTTCAGGAGTTTCTAGAACAAAATAAAAAAAATAAGAATAATGTGTCTAGATTCCTTTTTTTCTTTATACTGTGGTTCAGTAACAACTGATAGTAGTTTAATTGAAATTTGTTTGAAATGTGCTGCTGATTGCTGATAGCTTCCTCCCTTTGTTCCTGCAGTCCCACAGAATTTAAAGGATGCTTTTGGGTAGTAGAGAACTCAATGTTGACAGGAAATGCAGTGTTTGTTTTGCAGGTTGTGTCAGAGCTGTGTCCTGCCCCAGGTTATATCAACCTCCCCTCCTTTTCTGTGCTGGGCTTTCCTCTGCCAGGAGCGTTCCTGCTTTCCATGGGAAGAGATGGTCCCCATATTGGGCCAGCTGAAATAGCTGAGGAAAATAGCTGATTATTCCTGAAGTGCCTCAGAGCATTTCTGTGTGCCAGGTTAGGTTTTTCTTTTTCCCCCACAGTTCTGTCAGTTGGTCTTCCAAAATATCTCATTATCTCATCAGAAACCTTTCTGTGGTCAAGTGTTAGGCATGTGTATGCAAGCTCACTTTTTTTTCAGTCAAAGGGAGATTTAAATATTTGCATGAAACTGCTGCTATTGAGAGGTTTGTGCTATATCTGCTTAAGGTGTTTCAGCTATAAATGAAGTATTCTGATGCTTTCTGATCATACCTTTCTCGACTCAGTGTGTCTGTTTATTCTCTTCTTATTCCAGACCTCCTTCAGCTGTTCAGTTTTTTCTTGAATTTCAAAGTTATTGCTGATCAGTATTTCCATTCTTCATTGATTTCTTTAGCTACACACCAATTTAATTTGTTGTGTTTAATTCACAGTCTAATATCTGCTCAGACTCATTTAACAGTTTTTTGTGGAACTATTGCTGAGATACCATAATATGTACATGCAATTTTGTAGTAGATGTTCTTGAAGAAGCTATTTTTTTTCAGTATTATAAGCACAAAACAACAGCTGCTTATCTAAATCAGTTGTTTTAAGTTGTGTGGTAAAAATGTGCATTTTTGTGCTCGGTTTACGAAGGAGAGAAATCTAATTTTCATTTACTAAATTGCTCTTCCCTTTCTGTCATTTAAGATGGAAGCTACAGGCAGAATCGACTGAACCTCACAACGCTGTTGGTACAACCAATTTCTGCTCTGCTTGCCAGAAAACTTGTTTCCCTCCCTGAGGACACTGCCCAAAAAGAGAGGTGCACACCCCTCCAGCTGCCAGCTGCAGGTAATGCTTTTCAAACACACTTCACCTGTGGGATGTTCCTCTCAGACTCCAAATCCACTTTCTACAGCTATATAGCTAAAAGCTTTAGCTGATTATGGGTGTGTTTTGCTTACATACTTTCTAGAAGAGGCTATGAACAGTCTAAAAATTATGCTCCTAAAATCTGATAGATGGAAGTTGTGGTTTAAAAAAAAATAGTAGAAGGCATTGAACACTAATTTTTAATATGGACCTAGAGCCTCCTCTGTGTAGATGCCAACACTAGAGATAGAGAGGATTGTTAGTGCTGCAGTATGTTTTGTTAGGCCTTGTTGTGCTCTTAGTAATGTTATTTTAACATTAAGGCATCAGTAACTACATTATTCTGTGTATTTTTTTCTGTTTCTGGAATAATAACACTTAAATTCTAAATATGTCTCTGTGTTCCTTAATTTGTGTATGCTGTACAATAAATAGTGTATTGTTACCTGAACCCTCAGGCAGCTTTTTCTCCCAGTTTTCACCAGGAAAACAGGCACCACAAGAAGAACAAAATACCTTGAGTAGAGCCAGATGAATGCATTCATAGTACCTCCCTAGAAATAATGCCATTAGCATTATTTCAAAATAATATAATATAATTATATTATATAATCAAACAGATTAGTGCTTGAAAAGACTTATTTATGATAGGGGAAGGGTTAAAAAAAAGTAAGAGTACAGTCTTCCAGCACAGTGTTTCACCAAAAGAACATCTTCCAGAGAACATTTTAGATGAGGTGCATGTTTAAACAGTTATTCTTCAGTAAACAGTCTTCAGTTTCTTTTTGTACCTGTCCTCCATCTTTCACCAGGAAAAAAAAAGATTTATTTCATTATAATGCCCATTTAAATGAATTTATTTGAAACTGTGGTCTTGGAAAGGAGGAGGCAAATTAATTTAGCCACTGTATCCTGTGCTTGCTGCACACAGTGATGATAACAGTATGAACAAATTTTAAGGGCAACCAATGTAGTATCATGTGCTGTATCCCTTGTTTATTGCTTTTGGAACGTTATTGTGGAATTGGAGTACAATACAACAAGTCATAAAAAAGGTTGATTAATTTTATGACTTGTGTTAGCATTTGTAGTTATACATACCAAAAAGGAAGGCAGAAGACCTCATGTTCATGGCTTAAACTTTTGTGGTTAGGCAAGAGAATTGTTCTCCATGCATGGTTGACTAGATTTTTTTTAAAAATAAACTTTTAATTTTATTATTGTCCCCGCAACCAGTAGAAAAGGGGAAAAGGCCATTTTGGAAGGAACAAGTGCTTAGCCATTCCAGGTAGCTGCATGAAGCTTGTTAGTATTTAAGGAATTTTCAACAGCTGAAGTGCCTGGAGCAAAGCCTGAATTTGGGCTGGAAAATTACACTCATTTTAGAAAGGTAAAAGGCTGCACAATGTCTGTTTCTCAAAAAGCTTTTTCTGGAGGCTGCAGGACAGAATAACCCTAAAGGGCTTATTCTACTTTTTCTGTGACAGGTGTGGCATTTCTGTTTTATTTCTGTGAGAAGACACAGAAATTATTATTTATCTCTTATTCTGTGAGAGGAGAATTTCTGGAAAGAGAAAATATTCCAAGCCAGCAATATAGTGAGAGCCAGTCCATGTCTGGTTTACTCTGGGTGAACACAACAGCTTTGTGTGATTTCATGTAAAGCTTTTGAACCACAGTAATCCATGGGGGATTTTTTTAAAAAGTCCTAATTTATTAAGAAAATAGGGACTATAATAAGAAGCCCTGTATAATTCTGTAATGTATTATAATATATTTTTCCTTGAAGTGGTGGTGAAGCTGTTGATGTTCTGGAGCACAGAGCGTGCTGTTGTTCAGTAGCATCCTTAATGGAAGAGATAAAAGCCTGGTCTCATGATAAGAAATGGTGTATAACTATTTCATACTAGTAATAGCTAAAGAGATAATGCTGAGAATAGCAATGCATTAGGAAAGAGCAAAGGTTGAATTTGCAGTCTTCCTGTTGATTTGAAGAAGCTTAAGAGAGAGATTTCACTTCTGACGTAGCACTCATCACTTATCTGTCAAAAGAGGTGAATGAGCAATTCAGATGATTGGTTGGCTTGAAATTTGTTAGGATAAAATGATCATCATTCTCTCATCATTATGTTTCAAAAAGCTGAACAGCAGATTCATCAGTAACGATTAAACATTTATATATAGTTTTCTCACATTGCTGCTTTTTTCCCTTAGCATTGCAGTTTTCAAGAGACAAAATGTGGCAGAGGGAGTGGGAGGATGGAGGCAAACATCCCACACAGATTGAGTGCTCAGGACCTATAAACCAAATAGTGGGAATTGAAGTCAGCTGTTAATTTGGTGTTAGATGAAGTCAGTAATTAGATTTGCTTTTTGTTTGGTATGGTACATTATTGTTAATCCTCATTAATCTGAAATTCTGTGCTCCCGTGAACTTTTTCCCAAAGATTGGCAGTTAGAAGGAATTTCAGACTGAACTTCTATAGAGAAACTATAAACTTTAGAAGCTTCCTCTTTTTTTTTACAAAATCTCACTAGGATATTTGCTAGAACATTGTGAAGGTTGTTGTAAAACTAAAGCTCTCCTATAAACATAAATGAAGGAAGTCTTGCTGTGTACAGTGAACTGCCTTTGTTTTTGTTAAGTTTCCCACTATTTGGGAGATTGCAGTAATGTACAAATTACCCTTTTTCAATTAAACTCTCAAGTATTTAATGTGAATCTAGCTAATGGCAATTAATTTACAAAGTGTTTTTGACACTAATGACAACCTACTTTGGTTTCAATGGAAATCCTGGAACCCTGCTATTTAAACACATCAGTGTTATGTGTGTAATCTTTCCCTTTGGTTTTAAGTGTCAGTTTTATACTCAACCTGAGTAATGTCTGAGAAGAGAGAAGGTGAGAAAATTCCAGGATTTCAGTAGTGATCAGTCTCCAGGTGTCTGGGGCATCCTCCTGCTCTGTGGCTCATCCTGTTCTTCCATTCTTCTCCACATCTATGTTGCTGGTCACTCTTGGAGGTGAGGGCTGGATGGTCACTTGGTGTGACCTAGTGTGGCAGCTGAATTGGTAGGAAGTGTAAATGCAAGTGATCTCATTTAAACATCCCACTTCTTAGCACCTCCTAATGCCTTTTCCTGTGCAGTAGCTGTAATTTTTTTAAATATTTTAAAATTATAAAGCCAAGGCATGAGTAGTTTAAGTAACTTGAATGATATCAAACACTGTGAATAATAGAGCCAAGTGTACAAAGACTCCCAGCATTCTGCTGCAGACAGTAAAATTACTCAGATCAAAATGCTTTTCTAGGTAGAATCTTTTGATCTTTTGTAACCTTTTTTTAGTCTACAAAATACAGTCACTGATCAATAGTGAATCATCACAGTGACTGCAGTGCAGAGCTCTGTTGTAGGCTGCAAACAAATCTACCTCCTCTGACAAAATGGGTGAGTGGAACAGATAACCAGAACTGACTGTTACTGGAAAGGTTTGTAGCACAACACAATGAATTTTTATGAGACTTTGAACATCTATTTTATCTAGTTCCATGTGTCATATGTTCATTATACTAAGTTTATAGTCAACTCTGATCATGTGAAATTTGAATCATTAATTATACGAAAGGAATAATTGGAAGAGTCTGTTACTTTCCATATTATACGATGCTCATCCAAGATAAATAAAATTCTCTGCCAAGTGCTGCACTACTGCAAATCAAGCCTGTCTTCTTTTCAGTCAGAGGAAGGGCATGGAGTGATAAAGTGAATATCTCCTCCTGTTAAACTACAGCCTTGTGATAATATTATATGTGTTTCTCCTTCATAGTTTGCTACCTGTCAGAGAAAATAAAGACTCCCATATTTAATAAACTGTGGCTGGGACATCTCACACTGTAATATCAATATGCAAACAATACCATAATTTCTGGGTATTGGGACTATGCTAAACATGAATCCAAGGAAGCAAATAGAGAAAGATGCCATCAGATTGTGTGGCAGTGCATGTTTCTGTATCTACCAAATCTGGAGTCATTGTACATAACAGCAGAAATATAACAAAGTTCTGCAGATGTCTCTTACTGGCATTTGAATGAAGAACAAGTTAAATAGGGAGCTCTGATCTAATTCAGACATCCTGTATATGAAAACTTACAGGCTTTTAAAACCAATACCCTCAGATTTTCTTTTCATGATCACTTTAAATTCTGTTCCTTTTTTAAACAGAAGTTCATGAGAAGAATTAAGCATGAAGAGTGTGAAGCATTTTTTAATGTATCTTCCCTCTACTCCCAACTGAAGCCTTGAGGAATGAGTTTTCTACCAGAATTGCAAATGATCAAGATATATTTTCAGAATTCTGTTCTGCACCAGTGTTTTCCTGTGTGATGCTTTGCTTTTGATTACTATAAAGCAGGAAAAGAATGAAAGTAGTGTGAGGTTATGAAATTCAACTCTACCATCTGAAGCATTTTCAACTCTCTTTGATGTTGACTGTGACACATTTATTCTGTATCACATTAGGCCATCCTAGTTTAGAGCCTCCTTAAAGGACTTTATTCTAGGCATGTCTTGTTTCAAAAACTCTTCATCTGAAGAATTTTATTTCTGGATTCCTCATTGTAGGTCAAAAAAGATGATGATCAAATACGAAGGAGTTTATTAATTAAGCTCTTCATACTAAGATTAGACTTGGAGACTCAAGATCTATGAATATTTGTTCAAAAAGGAGAATATGTTGTCAGTAGGCAACATAGTTGATTAATCAAATAGAAGTCAATTAGGGAAAAATATTTGAGATACCAGATTTAGATGGTGTATTGTTTATACACCATCTAAAAAAAAAAAAGTGAAGCCTTTTCATTACAAGGACATCTGGCTAGGAGTTCTGACACATTCCTGTACAGTTTTATACCTCAACAATACTGTACATTGCATAGATTCAGTATTGATTTTTCCATATGTAATTTTGTAGTATCACACAATATTTTTCTGAGATTATATACATTATTAAGTATATGCTATTTTATATTTATTCACTTTTCTATATATACCATGTTGCATGTAGTGTTTTTTGTAAGTACTGCTGTAACATAAATGCATGTGATAATTACATTTCTTCACCTAAAGTTCTGTGTTTGAACTTGAAAAGTGACATAAAATACCTAGTAAATAAGGTTTTGCACTTAAATTGACTTGATGATCTGTCAAGTGCAGTTTTATGCTGATTACTTCATCTCAATTAGTGTCCCCTAAGTCATGTGAGCATGGATGTTTGATGATGTTTGAAATCTATAGTTCAGTTGGGATTTCAGACAGGTTCACATTTATTCAGGTGTTGATTTCAACAGGAACCATCTCAAAAACTGCATTACTTGAAGTTATTTAATATACTTTATTTCAGCAGTCTACTAAAATAGCTTTGGGTTTTATGATCCAGGATTTATTCTGTTGAAATCCTTTAATTCAGTTAATATTTGGTTTTTCTGTACTCCACTTAAATGTGCATGTAGAGAAGTTTTTTCAATGATTAGCAAAAGTCTTGTCAAATGAGTTCTATTTTCAGACCTGAGTTCCTAAAGATGCTTTTTAAACTCCAATACTCATATGCTCAGAAAATCCCTGTCTGATGATAGGGAATTTAACCAACATGTTTGAAAATGAGACTGAGGCTTATACTCCTCTATGCATGAGCTTGGGATGACGTTAAAATCTAAAAAACAAAAAAGAAACAACAACACAAAAAAAAAAAAAAACAAAAGGAAACAAGCCTAACTCATGTTCTTTCAACATAACTACTGTAAATAGGTTTTTCAGAACCAAAATACTAAAGTTTTCCATCAAATGAGAGGAAAAATAGGCATGGATTTCCAAAAATAACTATGTAAATGTTAGAGGAGAAGGTAATCATTTGGTATGAGACAATGTAAAAGTTCCAGGTCATGCAAGAAATAAACATTAAAAACCCAGTAAAGATGTTTGTGCTCTTTTATCCCAGAAGTAGCTTTTAGCTTACATAAAGACAGTGTTTCCTGAATATTGTTAAGGTAAAGTCTCCTCATAGCTTTCCAGAGGTTTTATGGGGAAAAAAAAAAAAAAACAGAGAAAGTTGTCAAGATTCTGAAAATACAGCGTTAGGACAAGAGGTTTGCTGTCAGAACTGTTTAGAAAGGATTAAATTTTGCTTCTGCTGTATACTCCAGAGCAGTTTCAGCCTTTTCATCTGGTGTTCTAAGCCTTTAAGCCCAAGTCACTTCAAGCTGACTACTGTGTTACATGACTATTAACTCGAGTATCTGATTTGAGAGTATGGGTATTGCCAGAAGTTAATTTTCTGTGTCTTTATTGTCAGTTGGAGGCTGGATAGCTGATGTTGATTAAGGAAAAACAGTGAAGTCAGTTGTCTTCAAAAGGATTTATCTTCTTTTTGTCTGAGAAGGGCCTAAAGGAACAAACATCTGAAGCGTTGTAGGAAAAGGAAAGGAAATCAGTTTTGACTTTAAAATGTCTCTCAAAAAAAAAAAAAAAAAAGAGTAAATTAGCTCTAGAATGGTTGTAGGTGAGAAACAGCAGCAAGAACTCACTTACATAGTTTAAGTTAAATTTAAGCTGCTGAATCAACATAGATTGTTTGAGCTGTTTTCACTTCTTTTAAAAAGACCCTTTGGTCTTTGGGAATCCTTTGGACTATTTTTTAAATGATTTTTTTGAATTCTAAAATAATATCTGTGGATTTATTGAACAAACAGTTCATTTACATGGCATTAATAATAATTTAAAAATACAGTAACTTACATCAGAAGAGCAAAGATAATTACGTGATAAAAATCAAAATATTAACATTCTGGGACCGATTGTTGCAAAGTCATGTGCCAGGGTTTATTTTTAATTTACTGCTTGGTTTGCAGTTTCCTTACTGGTTTCTTCAAGCAAAACCAGAATTGTCATAGAGAAGACACATGTGTTGATAACTGAAGAGGTTTTGTCTGAATTAAAAATAGAATAACTATTGTTAATTAATTTCTTAAACAAACACTAGCAGTTCACTTGCTTTTTTATAAATACCAATGAAGACTAGTGAATTAAAATATGTTGTATTTGATTTTAAGAACATTTTGAAGTAAATTTACCATATGAACCAGTAAATGAGCCCTGACAAACAGTAACCATGTGTTGTTTGTGTTTCACGACATAATTCTGTGCACCTGAGGAGACAAAACCTGGGCAGAAACTGTTAGAAATAGATCCATGGGAGGAGAATGGCCTGGCACATAGAGAGCAAAATGACCTGTGGATTATTTTAATTGTGGTCTGTGGCAGCTGGGATATTCCATGGGAGGAATTCTGTCCCAGAGATGCTTCAAGCACAGTTCTGCCGCAGGGGTGGAGCATTCAGGGATGGAGGAGAATCCCCTGCAGGTCTGGGGGCAGCCACTGATTGCCACACTGCTGCTGCTTTTGGAGTTCAAGCAGTTTAAGACATTTTCATTTCTCTTGGATGGAAGCTATGACATTTCAGATGAGCTGGATGTTCACACAGTCTGGTTTCATGCCAGCGAAACATTTGGAAGGCGTCAGCAGCTCCCCATGGTTGGTTGTTTGGTTTCCACTGTCCCAAACTGCAGGAACTCTTGTAGTTACTGTGCCCCACATTCTTTTAACTCAGATATTTGCTCTGCTCTGGCTTTATTCTGTGCTACAGTCTCAATTGGCAGTACTGGCAAGTTCCTTACATTTTAGCAGCTTTTCAAATAGTTCTGCCTTTGTATTTGCACCATTTCCTCATCTGCTGCCAGCTAAGCCAAAAACCCTGGTTCTGTTGGCCAGGGTTCACAAGAGCATCACCAAAGGCTGTGCTGGCAAAGCTGTGGGAAGGTCTGACTGCTCCCATCTGATTTAGCACAGGGGCTTTTCTCCAGAACAAAATGTAATATAAACCAGATATAATGGTTTGAATGTTATTGATAGATTGACCTAGGTGAAGGATTAGGTGAGAAAAACCTATGAAGTTTAAGGAAAATTTTGTTATCACAGACTCATGTAAATCCTACTCTTATAAATTTTATTTTTCCGTTGTATTCTGGCAGCAATTTTTGTGTGAATTCAATGATCTTTTAATTCAAGGGGTAGAGATCTCTTTTGAGATTCCATCTTAGAATCATGCTGCTAAAATAGGTCTAAGAAAATAATGTCATATTTCATGTTTAATCTCTGGTTCCTATTCAGGTTGGGGTTTTTTTTAACCTCATTTTAAATTCTATTTTTTTTAATGTATGTGAAATTTATGTCTTCAGCCCATATGTTTCTTGGCTGGGTAAATAAGTTCAACATTTTCTTTTTTTTTTTTTTTTTTCATCTTTTAACAGGCAAAAAAACAATCAGTCTGAACATTCAGTCTGTCACAACTTACAGGACAATTTCTAATGTCATTGGATATCTAAAAGGAGCTGTGTTTCCTGGTAAGTGTCCCTTTGTCATTTGTATTGATTTTTTGTTTCATGGTAGGTGGGAGTCATAGCTGGGATCAGGATCCTATTTTGCCAGATAATTCACTAATACAGAGGAAAGAAAAAGACTTTTGTACTCATTTTGTGATTCATGACAAGACAGGATATGTGAGGTTTAAACTGAGAATGATCTGAAGGGGATATTGTAGTTACAAAAAGTGTATTTTTACACAAGCAGCAGGTGTTGCACATGGACCACAGAGAGTATCAGTAGTTTGTACCAAGTAACTGTTTAATGGTTTTAATTTTAATATGGTTTTAACACTTGCTGCAGCCCTATTGTGTGTGTTAATAATACCCTAAGCTAGCATTATCCAATTTTATGAATAGTAGTTACTGTTCTCTATGTCTGATGGTTGAACAATAGAACTCTAAATACAACTGGGACATAAACACAACCTCCCCCTGTCCTTTGATTCTGTACATAAATAATGTTATCATCAGGATATAAGATAATTTGCAGATTATTTTGTTAGTTAGTGAATTTACTTAAAAGGTGAAGGGTTTCTACCACATGAATGAATGCTGTTGCTGGTTACTTAAATAGTGCAAAAAATTCCTATTGTGCAGATCATCATCAAAACATCATCATGCTTGCTTTAATATTCCTTTATTAGGTGGTGAAGAAAGGATGGAAATTTACAGTCCCTTAGGAGGTGGGCCAGTCATTTCATATTTTAAGTAATAGAATGAAGGAGGTGGAAAAAACTTTATTCCTGTAGGTGAAATAACGACTCAGTTCTGTGCATGCAGAACTGTGCACTTCTCACCAGACTTTTGGTTTGTTTAAAGCAACAGAGGAAACAATTAGCACAGTGAATTTAATTTCTATGAAGGATTTAATTTCCTTCATGAATTTGAAGTTACCACCCTGCTATTATTAATGTTTTGCAAATAGCTGTCATGGAGTTGGAAAGGCAGAAACTGCCACGTTTAGACATTCTGTCTTCTGAATTGTGCAACAGAGGCAAGAAAAAGAATAAAAAGTGCTTCAGTTGCTGTTTAACACGTCTTCTATCTCTTCTATACCTGACCCTTTCATCTTATTATTACATTTTTAATCAGAAACTACTTTTCGAAGGTTTGCCAATATATGCTGAACTTTAGGTATCTAAGGATATATAAATAGGTGAAGTCAGTAGCAGTACCCTGTTTGTCCCATGGATGTCTGGCTCAACAAGAGCCATAACAACTGTCTTCTACTGTAGGCACAAGTGGAATGTCTAATGCACTGTAATATTTTGTAGACAATCAATATTAAACCTTTTTTCCTTTCTCTACCTGGTTGACACTACAGTTGTTTCTCCTCAACTGCTCTGAATCTTGATATTTTCATGGCATTGATTCTTTGTCATTTTGATGGGGGTTTCTCATTTCATACACATTAAATATTCACCTTTATATTCACAGAAGTGCAAAAAGAAGGCAAAATTTATCTTTAGTGCTTAATGAAAGACTGCAGAGTATCACCATGGGTGGAATTTATTTCTTTTCTGTTAAAGACCACCAAACACACACACACAGACAAGCACATCTCTCTGATGCTAACCTTAGCTGGCATTTGATCTGAGGAGTAAGAACGAGCATCTGAAGTGTAACTAAGATGTTAAAATCATTAGGAGTAGATTAAATGTGATAGTTGGTAGCATTTTAAAACACAAAAAAACGTAACATTGATTTTAAAGCTCTATTAGACATGGTTGAAGATGGGATGTATAACAAGAGAAGGCAGGATAAAGAGACTTTTTAATGATGGATTCCTGTTGTCCAGCCCATCACTAACCTGAACACTCTCCTGTCTTATCACCTTCAAGGGTATCTGATGGGCATTTTTTTCTCTATTTACAGCCCTTTCTCTTTTTTTCATTTTTGCCATGTGATTCTGAGAAAGGACAGGTGCTGCCTCTGTAAGCGTGACCATCCTTTCTCCTCTGCTTTTCCTGTAGTCATTTGCTTTAGGGTACTGCCTTTATTTGAGGGAGAGATGTGCAAAGATGAAGAATTTCAAAGGAGGCACCAGCTGTTATGTTTTGCCACTGCTCATTCAGCTGGCATCTCCAGCAGTAAGTTGATGCCTCCTTCTCAATCAAAATATCCTGCATTATTTTAATAAGGTGTCTCTCCTCTCACATGGTCTGGTCACAGGCTAAACAGAAATTATTATACATTGATCCTGCCTGATCCCCCTGTGTTAGTGGCACTTCTTTAATGACCTAGAGGCATGTAAGGGCATTCATTTTGGTTCCTAATTCCTGTCATTTAATGAGTTGAAAATCCTACATTTTATTCATAGTCAGTTCAACCTATAATTAAGCATATCATGGTGCAACACACAAGTTGCAAAATTATATGATTTAGATTTCATCTTGTTACATTAAATTATTATGTAAATCTAGGTTGACACTTTGCATCTCTGTTTTTAGAAAGAAATTCTCGTTTCCATACCTACACACCCCCAAAGTTGATTGAAAAGATTGTATTACAGATACATTAAAAAAATCACCTCATAAAGCATTTTGGATTCCTTATTAAACAGCATGTTCAAATATTTTGTTGAACAAGGCTGGTGAAACTCCAGTTTGCTAGAGAATGCTTTTATAATCAAAGTGTTCCATTAATATTGTTCCTAGGCAGCAGCTACTGCAAAACATACTGGGTAGGTATTTTAATTTTATAAGCAAATACAAAATGTGGGCAATGTGCAGCAATCTGTTGCTGCATTGTGATCAACTGACAGCAAGTGAATGATTTCACTTGGTGGAAGAAAGAAAAAGACAATTTTTCCACTTTCTGGAACCCAAATGACACTCAGGGATTGCTGTGGGTGTGGCATCACTGTTCCTCACTGTTGAAAACTGTTTTTCTATTGTCTTTTGGTATCCTAAAATAGTGAAAAAACACCTTCAAAAGTCTAGGTCTGGGCCAGAAGGAGACTTTACAAAATATCAGAGCAAAACCAGCAAACAATCCTTCAAAGAGGGTTGTGAATTCGTCTCACATAGAATGTCTAATAGTTTAATAGCTCATTCAGAATAACTCTGCTTGGACTTCTTCACAGGCCTCAGTCACACCAGTTAGTCATGCAATTTCATAACACATCATCAGTTCTGGAGGTTTTTTTTCCCTTGTGGGTGGTATTAAGGTTATATATAATGCCTGGAGAGATGAAGATTTAATTTTCTTTCTCGGGAAAAAAAAAAGTGTGTTTATTTTTTGGGTTTTTTTCATGAGTAACTGTAAGCATATTCTTTATTTCAGGTTGAAACTTCTTGCTTTTCTTTCTATAAAATGCATTCTTCCAGCATTAACACAGCTCTTAGGTGTCACTTACCATATCTGTATCATTCATTATCTTATCCCTCTGTCATGTCTCCTCTCCAAACCTGCAGTCCAGGTATTTTAATGTCTCCTTCCACATAAGGCTAAGTCCTGATCATCTCTAATCTGCTTGCCAGCTGCTCCACTGCTGTTTCTGCCATGTCTTTTTTGAGATAGGGTGGTGAGCACTGAACACAGTCTTCCAGGTGAGGGAGTACTAATATTTGTGTATTTTCTTTGTTTCCCACTGCACTGCCACACCTTTTGTTTTCCTTTTTTTTTTTTGTTGTTGTTGTTGTTGTTTCTTTCATTTTTTTTTGGGTGCTGATGTGTATTGAGGATCGTTTCCTGCTTATTATTTTGAGGTTTTTTCCATAACACTCTACTGTGAGCATGTGAACTAATCCTGACTGTAAAATGGTCTATATCAGATCTACAAGGAGAGCAATAAGCAAACAAGGAAGGCAAGGGCATGGGGATTAATTTAGAAAACTGTATACATGTATTTATTTACTAGTTAATTTTTAAGTAGTACTCACAGTTTTGTGTATAATTGTATGATTGTCTTGCATGTCATCATATACTTTTTTGTTGACAGCTTTGTGTTACATTAAGGACATTACACACTAATAGAGGTCATTTTTAGGGTTGTTTAGAATTCTTTTAATCTGAATATTCAGGAAAAAAAAGTTTGTTTTTTGGGTTTTTTTTTAATTCTTCATTTCAGACAGATACGTCATCATTGGTAGCCACCACAGCAGTTTGAAGGGTTATGGTGGGCAAGGCTGGGCCAGCAGCACTGCTGTGATCACAGCCCTGCTCCAAGCCCTGGTGCCAGAGCTGAAGAGGGGCTGGAGGCCGGACAGGACCCTGCTCTTCTGCTCGTGGGGAGGAACAGCCCTGGGGAACGTCGGCTCCTACGAGTGGGCTGAGGTAAAACTGCTCTGGGAGATTCACTGCAGGGAGGGCTCCTTCTGCTGAAAGCTTGGATGTGGGAACCCGGCACATCCCTCTGGCTGCCTCCAGAGCTTGGCAGGGGGCTCAGAGACCTTGGCACGAAGTCAAAAACACCTGTGGCTTCAATTTCAGCCCGTGGAAAAAGCTGCCAACTTTGTATGAGGAATTATAAGCCACAAGGGTTTGAGTAGTGTGACAGTTGAATAAACACAGGGTGGAAAAGTAGAATTTTGGGACTTTTTAGAATGGGGTTCAAGGGGACAAGATGGAGGAATTTGGGCGTGTCCTGACCTTCTTCTCCTTCTCCTTGCCTCCATATCTTGCTGTGATGGTGACACTTTTCTGTTGATTTAAGGTAGAGACACACTGTCTCACATAAATGATAGATATTGGCACATTATTGTAAACATGGTACATGTAGCTTTTGGTATAAAATGCAAACACTGCCCTGAGGGCAGACAGAATGCCATGGCCGAGCTGCTGGACAGAGCTCAGCAGGGCAGAGAAAGAATGTTCTAGATAAGGGAAAACAAACAACATTGAGAAGCCGACCCTACACATTTCAGACTCCTTTGGCTGCACGGGCTGGGAAATGAGGACTTTTACACTTTTGGGGGCATCCCCACACCCAGATCCCGAGACTTGGAAACAATATGAAATTGCCACATGGAAATTGTGGCTCTTTAACTGCTCCTTGAGATCTGTCTGTGTTCATTCATGCACTGCACAGCAAATCCAGGGAAAACATCCATTGAGGCCATTCCTGGGATAATGAGGTGCCAGGATGTTGCCAAGGCTGTGGAGGTTGCATATGCAGCACCTTTGGGAGCTGCTTTCCCTCCCTGGTTCAACACAGCTTTGTAAAAGGGCATTGCCAGGGTTTGACAGGGGGAGGAAAACCTCAAAAAACGATGTAGGCACAGAAAGAGCTTAGAGAGCTTTTTCACTTTCTTGAGGGTTTAATATTTAATAATTTTTCATCAATAGGCTTAGTGTGAGGTGAAGTGAATCAAGAGAGAAAGAAGACAACCATGCTATGGTTTGCATGAATTAATTAAACCTTGCAGTGTCTCCATGGCTAGTGCTGATTCACTTCTCACAGATTTGTGCTGAGGAATTGGATACAATCCCAAACAGACAATTCTTTGGGCTCTTACTTTCAGCAGAATGGGAATCAGCTGGTTGAAAGAAAGTACCTCAAAAAGTATTGATGATCATACATGGCTAAAGTAGACTTCAGGTCATAAAATAAAGGAGTTGCTACTCCTCTAGGCAGAGAATTTCATGGCTGCTTTTCCAACTCTAATGGTTCAATGAATTAAAACAGTAGATAAAATAAAGAGTTAATTGCTTTTTACCGTGCATAAGAAGCAGCCAACCCTCATTGAAATTTCATACTTCCAACATGATTATTCTTCAGAAACAAGAGGGGGTGAAAAAATCAAATTGAAAAGATCCAGGCTGGAAGCAAAATTTGTTTAGTTCCACTTCAAGTCAGCTTTGCATCAGATGTAATTGCGTTACACCCCTTCTGTTCAATATAAAGAGCCACTTCATGCAAAGAGGAACTCATTACTGAGAAGGCAAAGGGGATCCTTTCAAAACAGAGATAATAATTGAAACGGTTTGTACATGCTATTTTTATAGTCTAAAAAATAATAAAATGAAAACACTGGGAAAGTTATGCAATTCAAATCTGAATTGGGTCTCTTAATATTTGAGTCCGTTTAACTTTTGATAATGATTGCTTTTGAAGTTTGTCTTCTGTAAGGCATAAGTTTAAAAGGCCATCATGTTGTTTCACAGTGTGTAATGTTTTCATTTTTGGCCTTACAAGTGTACTAATTTTTAATTCCTCACAGACCTGTTTGCATTTTCTTTAGATGATGTGTGAAATAGAATTATGACTTCTGCTATGTAGAGAAATAGCACTGAGATATCCTTTGAAGTTCACAAGAGCATATTGTGAGAAGCAGTAGTTAACTAATACTTGGGGAATGGAAATGTAGGGTGCAGTGTTCCCCTAGAAGCAACCAAAAGGACAAAACCAGCCTTAATTATAATGATGCAGAGTAGTAACCATTTTTCTGCTTGTGTTGTAGGATCTCAGGAGCGTTCTTCAAAGAAATGCTGTGGCCTACATCAGCCTCCATAATCCAGTCACAGGCAACTCAACTTTGCGGCCTGTGGCATCCCCTTCTCTTCAGCAGCTGGCAGCAGAGGTTAGAAATAATATTTGGTTTCACTTGTGGTTTATGAGGTTACATGGTTAGCATGCTTAAGATCAGTTGACATTACACAGCAATCAGTGGTTATATTGTTTAAGAATTTTAACCTCACAAACACACATGAACTGTTTTTTGTTTTTTTACAGTGAACAGGTTAAAATTTCAAAGACTAGTTTAGGAGGTTGGAAGGGATAACTTGTTTCATCTGTTTGTTAGACAAACTCTGACCATACTTGCATACCCTACAGCTTTTTTACCTTTTGGCAGCTTTAAAGTAACCTATTTGTTATTCTTCAGCACAGAGCACATTTTTCTCATCCTAATCAAGCCTTTCCAGACTGTTTCTCAATTTGCATTTAAACCTGTATATTTACCAGATGTAACATGACACAGAGGGGGAGTGTTACTCCTACCATAATAAATACTGTCTGAAGTGAGTATGTCAGGTTCAGTGCTCAGCCATGCCTGTGCAGCTCATCTGGAGCCAGAATATTCCATGGGTGCTCTGGTGTAAGGGCACGTATGCCTTCAACTAATGACCCCACTGCTGTTCCTGAGCTTTCTGAATTTATCAATATTTTACATGAATGGAGAATAGTGTAAGGCACGTTCTAAATTCAATCACTTTGAATTGGTATGCATAAAATGGAGTTTGATTTCACTTTAATAAATTATGGTTTTTAGATGTTTTTTCTGTATGTTTGCCAAATTAATACTTATTCTGATGTTTCTTTGACTTGCCTCTGAAGTATTTGGTAAAAAACACTCCTCAGAGCTGCATCTTGGATTAAATGCAGTTTAAGACTGATCTGGCTTGGCAATTCTTCAACTAAGTTAGTAAAATGATATCAATAAATTGCTTCTTAACAATGTCTTAACCATTTCTCCTGTTCACTGTTTAAGTGGTAATTTCCTCATGGAAAGAATCTGATTTATGCTCTGTAAGTATTATGAAAACTGTGATACAACATAGTTTCAGAGAAAAAAAGCTTCTATTTTGGAAAATAATTTATATTGTTGTATATGTGAGTCTGCAGGTATTATGGATATGTCAGCTCAAATTTTGCTATCAGTTTTAGCTATTGTACTTTCAAGAAACACTATCCTGAAAAGTTGCTAGCCTTATGCTCACCTAGTGGTGTTGGCAGTTCTACCTCCATTAAAACAAGTATTTGCCATTTAAGGGAGTAAGTTTATTATTATCCTTGAGCTATTTGGTTTTTCTCATTTTATTTATTTGACTCTACAATACAATCTATGGCAGTGATCTGAAAACTAAATTGTCTGGAGCTTTGCAGCAGTCTCTTTATTATCTATTTATCACATTAAGACTCAGTTCTTTCATCCTAATAAATGCCATATTAGTATGAATGTTACGTTCACGCCCTCTGTTTTGAAAAGGAAGCAAACTTCTGCTTTATTTCTGTGATGCTAAATAATATTTTGTAATTCTTGTAATAGCAGTTGTGTTCTGTTCAGCAGTATGGAAAGAGCCCCTCTTAGATGCCTTTCCTGGCACCTGTTAATCAATAAAACGTGACTAGAATGTCTTATTTTTTTTTTTTTTTTTTTTTTTTAGTCCTAGTAAACACTTTCCATCTCACTTCTGATTCTTTAATTTTGAGAGCGCATCCCTTCTGCATGTTTATCCTAAAGGCCCGTTTAAAAAGTAAAGGATAAAATTCCTGTGAGCATTTTAACTGTATGGCTTTCCTTCCTGTCAGATATTGTTATTTGTAATTAAAATAACTGTCATGCAGTTTGTGACATTAGAAAGATTTATAGGAATTAGTGCTTCCAAATGCTGGCTAGATTTCTGAATTCATACCAAATTACTGACAGTGATGGAGCAGCCCAGCACAGATCCTCATTTGTTCCCATGGGTGCTCGCAGTTTACCATGTGTCCAGAAGATTTTCTCTGGAAGACTGATCTGCTTATAAAGAATATTGATGTTACTGCCAGTACTTGCCAGGAAGACAATGTAATTACAGATTACCTGTAAGTTATGACACTGCAAATGGGGTGAGATGTGACTTTTTGGAGCTTATCTCATCTTGAAGAAATTGGGAATCTATTCACATGAGAATCTTGCTACCATGTGCAAGGTACTAAGGAGAGTTTTAAAATTCCAATGAGAGAAAATGATCATTTTAATTTGTGTGAGCGCTGAATATAGGTTAGAACAGAAAAGAAAGTGAAACAGGAATTTAGAATTAACGATATCAGTTCATTTTAAAATTAAAAGATAGATTAGCCTGTCTTGTTTAGTTAGAAGAAGTTTTCCATAATTTGTGAATATGTGGAAGATCCTGAACTATGCCTTTGGATTCAATGGTAGAACTCATAATTTAATCCCATTTTTAGCCTCAGCAAAAGAAACTGTCATGCATTATTTTTCCTTCTACTGCTAAACACTGTTGTAACATTGTTTGGAGGTAAGGGAGACTAAAATCTTACAACTTTTTGGGTTTTGTTCGGTGCTTACTGTAGTGCTAAAGTTGTGTGTGAAAGAGAGGGAGAGTGTATTCCTAGGGAAAATTAATTGATGTTAGAAAAGCCTACAGATTGTGTTAGGATTGTAGGGATAACAATGAAAAGCTGTAGTTTATCCTGTGAAAGAGAACTCAAGTAATAATCACACTAAGTGCAGAGCACTCTGTGCATGCTGCAAGGAACATAATTTAAAAAGAAATGTGGGGAAATAGCAAACTAAGATGGGCCAATGCACACAGCAATGTTTGCTTTCTGTCTTATTTTGGGTTCTTTCCTAAAATAAAATTTTGGCCAGTTGCTAATCACAGCAACTTCCTTTAACTTCTGGGAAAATTACAAAAGAAGTTTTAGCTGAAATGTTGTTTGTATGGATATTCTAAAGTCAACAAGGAAAAGAAAAATTGGGAAACTTAGTAATTTGCCTGCTGTGTGAGGTCTGGCAATCAGAGAATAGAATAAGTGCTTGGCTAATTAACAGAGACCATGTTTCTTAAAGAATGTTTTGTATAAAGGGATTATATCTTCATATTAGTTGCAGGTTTCAAAATGGAGCTACGTAAGCAGTCTAAAAATAATAATTTTATATGCCTGTCTGTGGGATTCCAGTTGAAACACGAAATTACACGAAGAAGCAAATTTAAATATTTGGATTAATTAAGCAAAGAGGAACTCAAAACAGTTCTGAGACCTTGACATATTTAATTCAAATATTTTTTTATATATCTAATTAGTGCCCACATCAACAAGAGGGAAGTACTGCCAAGTTATATTTTTGTCTACTGTTATTTTGTACAGAAAATGATGGTTAATTCGCTTGCTCAGTTGGTGAATCAGCATTTGTTGGCAGAGTGTCATTGGTAAATTGGGTTTGTTCAAGGCTGGGATTTATTCTCTGTAAACAAGGCTGTTAATGATTTTTTCTATAATGGACATGTCACAAAGAAAAAAAAAAGTTATTATGAAACATAAATTCATTGCTGTTGTCTTTTAACTGATTGTGTGACCATCAGACTCCAGATCTGCTGTTACTGCTGAGCCCAACAGAACTCACTGCTCCTGTCTCCCCAGGAAAGGAGTGATTTAAAGCTATTGATGAGTGAGTTGATCATTAAAAATGACTATGCCAAGTATTATTCCATGCTATTTATCAGTATTTGTTTCTACTGATGGAGTAAAAGGCATAAAACATCTCTACATTTAAAGGTGGTGTTATTGACAGAAAGCTCTTTTTTCTTTATGAAGCAGAGCCAAAGATAAACTTCTGCATAGATGTTACTATCATTATTTCTTGATTTAAAAAAAACTAAAATCTCGCATTAATGTCAGCATCGATTCTCTTCTTCCAACTTCTATGTTTTTCTCATTTTTTAATACTGTCAGCATTAATAGTGAATCTCCTAATGTCATATATCAGTAGTTGTAAATAAGAAAACAAAATTACTATTTTAATTGCTTGTTCTATGCCTTATAACAGAAGACTATTGCTTCCCCATGGGCTTTCAGTTTTTACCTGTTATCACTTTTCATGTTAGATTTGATTGCTGGTTTTATTTTTATATTTGTGTTGAGAACAAAAGAAAATCTCTTTGAGACTCCAAAATTTCTGCTGTGAACTTCTATCTCAGGAATTCCTAACTGTGTTAGAATGATGCTGTTAATATAATTGGCAATACTTCATTGCCAATGCTATTAAATTAATTAAGATGCTGCTTCTCCAATGTGAAAAGTTTCATTGAATGGTGGATTTGATTTGCAGGAGGGTTTTTTTTGTATCTTCTAACCACTTTTTTCTTTTGATAAAATGCTGCTTTGTCCACTGTTACATACTTTTTCACTCTTCCAAATTGAATAATTTTAATACATAAATGCAGATTCAGACAGAGAATAATTTACCCTACTCATATATTTTGATGTTATAAAAACAATATTACTGTTAAACGTAGAGAAAAGAGTTTGTTAGCAAAAGATAATGTAATAATGAACCTGTTTTTCAGCTGTGATCTTACTGGGAGCAATTATTTTGTTCCTGGTGACTCAAGCTTTCTGCTTCCATGTCTTTCCCTGTATTTACATAGATTTCTAATAGAGGTGTAAATTATATATATTCAGAAAGGGTTTCTTGGTTTGAAATGTAAATGTCTATGTCAATAGCCATTGTGGATGAAACGGAATAAATCTGAATATTTTATTATGCTTAGGTGTAGTACTAGAGTAGGGAAGTAATTCCTTTTCTGCTGCAAAAATGGGGTTTGGTTCAAGTTTTCTATTGTTCAATCTAGTTAATATTGTTTTATATAATGAGCTGTACTGTGTAAGGGAACTGTTTTTCCTTTCCAGACGCTTTAGCCAGACTACAGTATTAGAAAAAATAAATTCACTTCTGTCAAAATATTCTTTTGTTTAGTTTCATCTTGATTATTTCCCTTTAGAACTGACTTTTTCATGATAATAGGAAGATGTTTTCTTAGCGATAGAAAAACCTTTCATGTAGAGAGTTTA